TATTTAATTATTGTCCATGTATTCACTAGCAACTGTCATTTTTTTATTGATTATATGCATACAAATATGAAAGAGAACAGGCAAGGTAACCCCAATGGGGTGGCTTAGTGGTTAAGAACTTGAGATTCCAAGTTGGTGATCTTAAGTTCGAACCTTGACTCGGGCGGGGAAGGATTTAGGAAAAGGGGAGGGCTATCCCCTCTTGTATAGCCCATTCAGATGTACCAAAAAATAAAAAAAAAAACAAAAGAGAACAGGCAAGGTTGTGCTGGCAAATCTCAAAAGCCAATATCGGGATCTAACACAAGAAAGAACAGCAGACAAAGACAAAATTACCTCTTCAAGAACAGAAATAGAAGCGGGAGCATAATCTAGCTGGCGAGCTCCATGATTCGAGACAACAATCCCATCTACACCAACTTCCAGAGACTTTATTGCTGCCAAAACATGGAACATCAAATCTTGAGTAATGCTATTCTACAATGTAGAAGAATCCAAAGTTCAACTAGGAAAATCTAATAAAAGAAAAGTACCAAAGTTTATTGGAAACAGTCATGACCTCAATCTAGTTAACCATAGGAGTCCTTTTCTTAAATTACTGTATAAGTAAAGGTTTTAGTAGCTCCTTGCAGGTAAGGTAATTGATCCTTTTCTTAAAAAAAAAGAGCTGAATGATATCAAAAGTAGGTTTTTAGAATTTCAATAGCTATCTAGTCCTTGCATGGAATGTTTCTGAACCCAGGTTTAAAGCCACTCAAAATTATTGTCAAAAGTTTCAAACGTAGAAAAAAGTAATAATGCTAGATCTTGCTGATTTAGAAAAATTGTCTGATCTTACCATCTTCACGAGTGAGTACCCCCTTGATCAAAATTGGCAACTTTGTAATAGATCTTAACCAAGTTATGTCCTGCAGAGATGTTGCAATGCAATGTAAATGTTTAAAACCAACAGGTATACAAGAAAAATAGTTCTTTAAAAGTACCATTTAAAGCACTTAACATTTGAAAAATAAGTAATTTTTAAAGGCTTGCAGTAATGCCTTCTTTCAAAATTGCAATGCAATCATCAGCTGAACAATATAACTTCTTATGAACAGTGAAACAAGATTCAACTAATTTTTATACCTTCCAAGTTAAAGAGGCATCAAGTGTAGTGTTAGCAAAAGCTTCTAGGTTTGAACCGCTATCCTGCAAATGTTCAGTACATTGAATAAATATATAAAATCATGATATAGATGAAACTCAAGACTTCTAACATTACAGGCATAAGAAGCAAGTTACAGCATAAACATATTTATCAAATAAATACTCAGGGGTCAAGTATTGTGTACTGCAACATCCAAGTAATAATTGAAATGGAATTTTTTTACTCACAGAGGAAACTTCTGTTGATATCAGACCTTCAAAGTTCTTCAACTGAGGTGCAACCATTCTACAGAGATATGATGAAAACCCAATGGAAGGCATAAAATTCAGCTTGTGCCATAGTTGTTAAAACCAATTGAAATAAATATATGTGTTTTGCAGTGACAGAAAATAAATAATCTGCCTTCTCCAAATTATATAGAGCAGTTTATAGCAACATTTGGAAGTAATTACAAGATTAAAAAATGCAGAACAAGATGAAAGAGAAAAGATATGTTTCACTTGTTCTTTATGTCTGCCTCCCTACGACCAAGTCTAGGAGCATCCACGGTTAGGACAATGGCCTTATATCCACTTCTCTCAGCTCTCTCCACTAACTTAGCTGATATATCTCGTCTCTTGAATACCTATTGAAAGAAGGATAAACCCAGATGGTTATAATGTTCCTACCAGTAGGATTGGAGGAAGCAAAAAGAGAACCGCTATCATCTAAAATAAAAGTTGACCAGTAAAATAAAGGCTAAGGTCCTGGGAGGTCTTAAGTTCAAACCCTCCCATGGTATGTTTACAGATATCAAATAAATAAAAGGAGTTGAAGAAAGATTAGTACATATAATTGAAAGAACCGAACAGCATTGCAACTTGAAGCAACCTCCTCAATAGTGCATGTAGAATTATAGGATAAAATCTGCACTATTAGAACAGTTCATAATTCACACCTCGAGCAAGAAAATGCAACTCAAAACAGTCAGACTGGAACAGTTATACCATTATGGTGTTACATGCAGCTGCTGCTTTTGCTGTGGCAACTTCACCTGTTACAAATGCAAAAGCAAGTAAAATCAGTACTTGAAAGAATCCTTAACAAATAGCTGAGAACGGTTCTGACCTTCAGGATGTGCCAACTTATGCATAGCAGTTGGAGCAATCATAATAGGTGCTGAGATTTTGTGACCTAGCACTGTTGTTGATAAATCTATCCTGCTGACGTCTACTAGAATTCTTGGCCGGATCCTGGTAATAGATGTAACATAATCAGTGGAATGTCCAACCATATCAGCAGCAGCAGCAGCTACATCAATTAACAAGGTAATTTTCCCATAAAAAAAGAGAGGCAATTTTAACACAATACGTAATTCTATGAAATGCCTCTACATTCTCCCTTAGAGTGTGCTGATCCTCAGCTCCACCAGCATAATAGTCATAGTACATTTTAGGAAGGGCCTGCCTGGCTAATTCTTGGAACTCATTCACGTTAACTGGTTCAGCAGCCATTGATCCTGTAAACAGTGATATCAACCCACTCCTGAACAAGAAAAGGAAGTTACCAATTAATTTTCAGTAAATTAAAATGCTTTAGTTTCATAAACCCTACCATATACACGAAGGATTAAATCAAATTCTGGCCTCAACCACAACAATATCATATAATCAATGGCGTTCTTTTCAAGATGCTTGAAAGATTAAATCTTGATTATGGAAGAACTGGGTTATATTGATACTAGCTCAATTTATTAGATTAGCTTAAGAAAACTATTGAGCTTACACGGAAGTAAGATACTCTATAACAAGGGATAGCCACAAGAAATCTCATGGAGAAAAGAAAAGAGGTCACAGCTCATAAAAGACATCAAACTCCATGACCCATCAGAATATTAAGTCTGTAGAAGCTCAGAAGCTCATAAAGCAGCCTGTTGGTAATCAAAATGATGCCAGTCCGATTGAAAGCTTAAGAAAACTATTGAGCTTACAAGCAAGTCAGATACACTACAACAAGGGATAGGCACAAGAAATCTCATGGAGAAAAGAATAGAGGTCACAGCATGCTCCAAATTCTCATAAGAACCTGGAGTTGGTGACTCTTAATAATTAACTTCGCTCTCTCTCTCTAAGAAATGCACTAAAGACATCAAATTTCATGACCTATCAGAATATTAAGTCTGTAGAAGCTCACGAGATCATAAAAGCAGCATGTTGGTAATCAAAGTGATGCCAATCCAATTCAAAGCTTAAATTTTTTTGGGTAAAATGAAAGCTTAAAAATTTAAAGAAAAAGAAAAAACAAATGCACTAGTCCAACAACAGAGCAGTTTCAATATTTTGATCAAATTTAGATTCTTGGAAACTTGAAGAGAAGATGTACCTTAAAGAAAACAAACCCAGATGGAACTCTTGATGTAAGCTAAGAAAATCGTGATGCACAGCCAAACACTACAAGGACACCGAAAATGATTTCTAACCGAACGCTTTAGTTTTCTGGCCTTACCTGCAGAAGTGTGAGGTGGAGCTCCTTCTGGTTGATTTCTTTGTCGGGAGTCAGGACAAGAGGGATCGCCATTTCCACCTCGAAAACAGGTCCTTCACTTGTTGGTCCCCTCCTATTTTGCCATCTGAACTTATTTTGGTACCCAAATGGTGCTTGACTTTTTTTTTCTTTTTTTTTTTTCGTTTCCCGCCGGTATCGAGGCTTTGCCCAATTAATTCAGACCCAACCCGTGTCGCACACCTGTAAATAGTGGATGGGTCTTCCAACTGCTGTATTCACAATATCTCAAACTCGAAACTTTGTTTAAGCTGGAACAAGTGCTTACCACTTGATCCAATCCCTCATTAGTTTTTTTTTTTTTTTTTTTATATTTCAAAAATTGTTCATTCCATTAA